TACACAAGCCACACAATCCGTAAGCAGCTTGCATAATTCCTTGTGAGATGTCATCCCACGAGGCGGAGTATCGTCCAGACATCTCATATAAATTCCATCATGCATGTCATCGTTAAGAAGCACGTGTCGAGCTATCTTGGTGATCTGTATACATCGATTTTCTCTTTTATCCCACACGCACTTCACGCCTGTCCTTGCATTTAAACAATGATTTTGATTTGTTAAATGCTCACAATTTCCTGGAGTATACCTAATAAATATAATAAATATATTTTATATTATATATTATATAATAATAAATATAATAAATAAATTTTTATTCTTATTCTTTTAATTGAAATCCGTAAAAATTTCTCTATCACTACATTATTTATAATTATATATATTTATAATTAATAATAATAAATAATAATTATATATGATAGATGTATTGTATAAATATTCTACCTTGTCATGTCAGACAACATTTGTCCATCGAATCCCCCATAGATATACATTGACTTCTCAAACACAGTCGCACTGTGTCCATACCTGGGCAGGTCGGTCATCTCTTTGGGCATAGGAAATTGATGCCAGGAATCACAAGTGACATCATATGCGATCGTATCTGCCGAATAACATCTCGTTCCATCCGAATGTTGCGTATCGTTATGCATATTACCGCCAAAGACAATCATCAAACCACCAGAAATGAACACAGCTGTGTGAAAGAAACGAGCTGATGGGGCAGCCGTAAGCAATGTCCATTGACGAGAATTAGGATCATAAGAGTACAATCGACTAGTTAAGACCTGTGTGGTCTGCGATTCTGATACGTATCCTCCATATACATAAATGAGATTTGTTAATGTATCATAGGCGGAGCTATGCCCGTAACCACCTTTCACAGGGAATCCAATTGTGTCTACGATTTGCCATTCACGTGTACCCAAATGATATTCTTGAATCTCATTCAAATAACCATATTGAGGTGAATATCCGAATATTACTACCATTTTTTCTTTTCTTCCATGATTTTGTACAAGAGTTGCAGAATGTCCGGCTACCTGTGTAAAATAATGTATTAAAAACACGCACATTCAATATGGCTTAATATATTTAATATATTGCTAAAAAAATATTATTAAAGCATATTAAGATATTCATTATACATAATATTCTATGAGAAAAAATATTTGATTAACATCAATTACAGCATTAATCCATTAAAGATTGCAACATGATAAAATTCTGTTTTCTTAATAGTAGCTAAGTATAGTTATACAAGAAAATTTTAACGATTTATATAATATTTTTCTCTTCACTTTTTTTTCTTTCTTTTCTTTCTATTTGATAAAGTTTAAAAAAATTTAACTATTTATTCTTAATAAAGTTACGAGAATAGGATAAAATTCTTTAAAATATTTAAATATATATTATTTTTGTAGAAAAAAATTAAAAGTGAAAATAATCAAATTAAGAATATAAAAAAACAACCAAAATAATATAAACAAATTAAAAAACGTAATCAAACAAAATTAATAAAAATCGAAAAATATAAAAATTACATACATGTAACAATTATGATAATTATATTAATATAATTTTAAGTAAGAAAAATTTCAATTTAAAAACTAAAAACTACTTGTATATACATACTTAAAGCTAACTCAAAATATTATAGAAATTATAGAAATTATAGATACAAAAACGAATTCATGAAGGAAATTATCAAATCACCTTTAAAGGACCACGCATAGTTTTGTTGCTCTTGTCGTGTACGGTTACATTCTCCCAGACTTTCGCCGAGACATCAAATGCCCAGATTTCATTGGTTACCGTAGAATTAGGCAGTACACCACCATACATGAATATTTTATCACCGAAAAGTATACACGAATGAGCGTATCGAGGTTGAGGAACCTTCCCTTCGACATGAGGGGTCTCCCAGACATTTCCATTGAAATCGTACACGTAAATCATTTTAGCGCGATGAAAACTTTCACCACCAACTATATATAAAGAATCTTTCCAAACGATAGAGCAATGACTAGCCGAGCCTTCAGGTGAGAAGTCAGTATAGAATACATTTTCCCAGAATCCACGGTCGCTTCTTTGACTGCAATCAGAACCTGAAAAAATATAAAGTTAATAAATAATATACAATATGTAATAATAATAAATTAATGTATAATTTTATAATTAAATATATATTAATAATATATAATTATATAAATGTATATTTATATAGTAATTTATACATATGAATTACAGATTAAATCATTTGATTTTTAAAAAGAAGATAGTAGAAATTAATTGGATCATTATACAGTATATTAAATTTCTTTCCTTTTCTTTTTCAAAATTATAAATATATTAAATGTAATATTATTACTATATTATACTAAATTATACAATTACTACATTATTGGCATTATCATTACACTCTTCCATCACGCTAAGCAATCTATTCATAACCCAAAAAAAACTAATTAATTATATCCTTTTCCATAAGCAAAAAAAAAAATCATAAAATTATATATAATTATCCAATTCTCTTAGAAACATTCATAAAAATATAGAACAAAATAAATTAAATCTTCCAAAATACATTAGGTAACTTTTTTTGATAGAAAATCTCACCCTTGAAGCCATGCATACAATCACAATGATGACTCTCCCGATTACATTCGCCCTGTCCATGACTATGGGAACAGTTATTCGGACAAACTTGAATTTCACAGGCTTCACCAGTCCATGTGGCATCACATGTACACACACCATCAATGCAAACCCCATGTCCAGAACAATCGATGTGCGAATACCTGTGAATACCAAAAAATATGTACAAGAGGAAAGTAGGTTACACAAATCTTTCTAAGAAACCAAGCTATCGCATATTGGTTCTAAATACCATTGTAAACATGCTCTTAACATATTTATATACAAGGATAGATTAAATGTTTGCCTGATTGAATTTAGACAAATGTTTCAAAAAAAATGATTAATGCAAGAGAAACAAATGAAAGATCATTTTAAATGATTATTTTTTAATGTAAAGGAATTTTTTTTCCGTTTTGGGAAATATGATGAATTAGGAATAAAAACAGTTCTAGTACCAAATAAAACTAAATGTGAGGATGTTCCATATTGAAGCTTTATATATAAACTTCAAATAATTGTTAAGTGGAAAAAAAGAATTTTTTTTTTAAATTATCATATTAATAATTACTAATTATTATATAAAAATATATTTTTTTTCAATTAATGCTTTTTTTAATTTTAAACAATAATTTTATAAATAATTTTTCTAATCCCAACAAGCTTATCATAAAAATAATTTTCTATAATTAATTTTCTATAATAAATAAACAAATATTCTAGATAAATTTTTAAAATA